ATGTACCTGTTTTGTCTTCAGTGATCATGTAGGGAAGGTAAGTATCATACAGTGAGTACCACTTTATTTGAACAAACCTTTCTTGTACTGAGATAAGATTTAAGTAAAGGCCTAAAGTCCATCTGCTTCCTTGTTGTATTTATATATGTATACACATAGACACACCCATCTTTATATATTTATATATTTACATATATATTTATACCTATATATATAGTTTTTACTTTCTTATTCTTTCCTCTTTTTCTTTTTTCTTTCCTCCTGCTCCACTATCATGTTTATCTATCATTCACCTCTCAGTACCTCTTTTGGATACATTTCAATCGATAAAACATGACCAGGAATGCTACAACCTCTTCACAGTCAATTTTAGAACCCTTGCTATTCCCTTGTCCCTATTATTATTGACTCACCGCTCCTCTCCCCCACCTCCTCCCTGGTGTATCTCCTTGGGTTTGCTTATCATGCCTATCTTACATAGATAGACACCACAATAAAAGAAGAAAGAGAAAGAAAAACAAAACAAAACAAAAGACCATACAAATAACTCCAAGTCTAACTGTCATCCTGACCCATAGTAGATGAGTATCTCTCTGTTAAATAACAAGCAGGGCCTGTTATAATCCATCAGTCCAATCCCCTTTTCTTTCAGGGGTCCATATCCTAGTACCTGCTTATCTAACAGTACTTACACCCTTTTAGTCCCCGACATTCGTGACCAAAAGGTGCGCCTCCTACAAGCCTCCATTACTATTCCTGCTGTCAGGGATGGAGTGGACTAAGGCCCCGCCACCACCCTGTTACACCTTTAGACTTTCCGTGTTGCCCCCTGGGAGTAACCCCCAACCAGTTCAGATGAGGTGTTAAGCGTTGACCCCAAGTCAGAAATCTGCAATCGGGATTCTTCAGGGACTTTGTGGCTCTGCTCCTTGGTTTGCCCCCATGTGGGTGGGTCAGACTGGCCGCTCTCCTTGAACTGTGTCTTCAGGGATCTCCTCCTCTGTCTGCAGCACTGTCATCTATGAAGGGAATGAAATGTCTCCAGCTGAGGCCAGCCCTACAGTCATCCCTGAGAACAAGCTGCTCCA